GTTAGTAAGATTCGAATCACTAATTTTTTCTGCAAACGCTTTAAATCAGACATCTTGTAATGGCTTAAATTCAGACTACTATCTTGGGATGCCTCAATATAAGGCTTTCGTAATGACTTTATCTAGAAATTTCTACAATAACTAGGCAGCTCAATCTGTATGAAACTAAAATAAGTTAGAGAAATGAAGATAATCCACTTCATAATACTCTTGGTTCTTTTATTTCATAATTAAATAACAAGAAAATTTTCTTACTCCCTAAAGGCTAGCATTTTTCTTGAATCCAACCAACTTTGATAGTTATTAGCCGCAAGTACGACTGACATCATCTTCGTAATTTTTGAGAGTTGCTGATTTATGGGCAATTTGCCCCTTTATCACTCCAAACTGTTAGATTTTTCGTCTATGAAGCAGTAACTACCCTTTCATTCAAATGGCTCGACTCCTGGAAGGCGGAGCTTCCTGACCTAGTTGAGGATAGATAGTGATCAGAGAGCACGCGCGCGAGAGAGACGCAGACTGCGTTCAGGCTCGAGCGGCCTTATTTAGGTCACAAAGCCCCGCCTTCCAGGAGCCAAGCCAGTTGAATCAAAGCTTATATAGTGTAAGAGATGGATGATACCACGCCAAATTGTTCCTCATTCCTATATAATTGTCATACGTTGATTTTGGAGAGTTCACACTGGTTAGGTGACAACGTAAGTTTATTGCAGGGCACATTACTATTTTAGTATAGAGACTGCTATTTAGCCATTTTCCTGGCTTGAATTATTTCGGAGTGAGTGAATAGGCTTTTTCATTACTTCCCGTTATAGGCACGAAATAATTGTAACGTAGTAGTCACTTTGAATGATGATGATGTTGAGTTCGTTACTCATGACATTAGGAGTCATCGTATTTTTCATTTTAATTATGGCTATTTTTGATTTTATTGTATTCTAATTTTCTGTTTATGAAATCGTTCTAAATTCACTATTTTGTAAACTACCAAGTAATCAAAACGGCCCCAACTTCGTTGATTCTGGCCAGAGAAAAAGTGAAATCAAAAAAAAAAATTCAAAGAGGAAAATCTGAGATTGTATCGGGGAGTCTTTAATGTTTTGGCTATGAGGATATGATCTTACAAGGGAAGCATGTTCAGTCGAAGTGACCTTTTTAGATGTATGCCATATTGAAGGGCACAAAGTGCTAATTCCAAATCTGCCTTCCTTATCTGCAGAACATTCATGGACGAGGAATTATGGGCGTTTATTGGAGCAAAAAATTGAATGTGCAAGTGGAACAAAAATAGCTTCAATATTTTTTCTAGCTTTTCAGTGGAGCAGTGACAATCATCACAGCATTTTATTCAAAAATACTCTAAAATAAAAGACATATCACAGTTTTTTGCATCATTCGAGGGCTAGTAAAATTTTAGCAATTCATTTTATCCAAAATGCACATTCAACCTTTCGCTCCAAAAAACACTCATAACTCCTCGTCCATGAACGTTCAGCAAGTAGGGAAGGCAGGTTCGAAAATAGCATTTCATGCCCTTCAGTATGGTATACATTCCATTTAAACAGGCCAGTTCGACTGAACAAGCTTCCCTTGTCAGTAAACCTGCCAAGAATTGTCCTCAAAATTCGCTATGTGATACAAGAGAGAGATGGAGGAAAATGACCGTTTATGAACCACAAGATTGCTACAATAGAAGAATAAGAGCGCAGAATGATTGAACAAGACGGCAATGTCATTTCGCTATGCCAATGCTTTCATCAAAACAGAGGATGAGCATGTGGCAAGAGGAAAATTAGCTTCTGGCATTAATTTAGCCGTTTGTCAGCGACAACGGGTACGCTTTCAGTGCCTCAATTTCCGACGACAAAACATTCTCATTTGCAGTCATTTTCTAGCACTCAGAATACTAATTTGCTCGGCTGGGTACAGTATTTGCTGCAGAAGATGAGAAAAAAAAAGGTTTCAAAATTTGATCCCGGCTGCAAGCGACTGTGTTGACAAAAACAGGAAAAGGTCAATGTATTCAAATGTATGCATGGACATCATTTCCCCATTGCTCTGGAAAAACTGTCAAATATCGCATTTATTTCTATCCAAAGCGGTAAGCTTTCCGTTTGTGGTTCTGCAGACGGACACGAATGCTTCTGGTAATTTTTACAGGCTGTTTTTACTGTTGAGATAAGTAGGTCTGCCAACTATGTTATGGAGCTCGAGTGACTATCACGGCCCGGCATGAGTTCGTTGCTAGAATTCTTGAAAACAAATTCCCCCTTGACTTTCGCGAAATTTTACTAAGTCTTGACTCTCAGCCCTAGATGTAATAACCCTCAAAAAACGAAAACGGTCTACAAAAAAAAGTCAATTTTTGGCCACGAAAACGATATCTCATTTGCTTTTTCGCCCCCAAAAACAAAGCCCAGCCTGCTCCATACATTCTGCGCCTGGCCCTGGTAAATATGGAAAAGAAAGAAAGCAGAGGCTCTTTCGCGATGATGAGCCATAACTAAAATTTTCATTTTTTTCAAAGAAAATGCCGCCGATGATTAGCAATAATGTCATCTGACAGATGGTCTCCGTATGGCTTACCCATCAAAAAATGTCTAACAAAGCACTTTTTTATTGTAAATACCATGACCTAATTGTGCGAACCCAAGCATCTTGAATTGTTGAGCCTTTTCACTTCAATAGGGTATAAACCTAACACATACTTTAGATTTTTTTCAGTCTCTATCGAGGAAAATAATTCTGCACTTACTTGTTCTCCTCATCCACTGAATGAAAGCACTTAGCTGTATATGGCATGCTACCAACTGGTATGACAATCCCATTTATTTTTTCATACTGAATTTAGGTCTTTTTTCAAAAATAACCTTTGCATTAGCTTCCTATGCTAACAAATTGTGTGTACTATTTATGATTGATCTTCTTGGTTACAAATCTCTTAAATTGTGCCCCTCTTTTACGAGTTACTCTCTCCATTTGGATTGTTGTTGAGATTCTGCTTTTGTCAGATTTCCAAAAAGACGCAAGTATTATGAGGAAGTCACTCGAGTTCGTTTTAGTCTTTCTGAGGTTTATTATACGTAAACTCATCACTTATATGGTTCTCACACTTTCAATTCCTACCCAAGCTTATACTGATTGAGTCTTTTGGGAATTATTGCCTGCAGGCATTGTGGATCTAGTCCTGGATTCAGCCTGAAGACAAATTTGATATAGTATTTCTTTTTGTAGAAAAATCGACGCTGATGAGATTGCTTCGCATTAGCTAGAAGCCTTCGGGCATGCAACGTTCACTTTCATTAGGGTAGCGGAGGCTTCGGGCGTTGAATATTCCAGAATTTGTCACTTAAAACCTATATAAGGTCATGAAGGTGCACTATCTGGGAAAGGAACGCATGCTCGGTTCTCTTCGGTTCTACAACTCCATTTTGTTACATTCGCTAATCAGCTACGCAAGTTTAAGAGCTTGAAACCATCAACTTCATCTTCTCCTTTGATTCATGAATATTTCACAAACTTAATTTATTTGAACTACTTCATTTTATATAATGATGGTCCATAAAATACTAAAAACCTTAGGGTCTGCCAAGAGGGAGGAATAAATTTGTTATAGTACTTTCAGGCTAAGTTGTCACTTTAGGACTACACATTGATAACCTTAAAACTATTCATTGATGTTTTAAGTTCGCGACTCCCAGCCATTACGGTTTCTATTAGGTTGTCCGGAAATTAATGTCCGTTTTGAATTTCAACCGCAACAAGTCATACACTTTTCATTCCTGAATAGCTTTCAAGATACCGATAGAGCAAAGCAAGCTCTAGAAGATGGCAGTTTTGATTTAGCAATAGCTCTGATCCACCTCGAGTTTCGAGCCAAAAACTAAAAAAATTCAACTGCCCGAAAAATCAAGAAAAATCATAATTCAGTTCGTAAGTATTTTACAAAAATTCTAATTTGCTCACGTAAACACTATCCACATAAGACATATATGTACGCTATTGCCGTATGTTTTCCTCTGTTAGAAATCGAAAAAACGAAAACTTTCATACTTTTGCAAAAGTGATGCTGTGTTCGTCCCCACATAAGTAGATGTATACTACAAATCTGCAAAAGTAAAAACGTGGATTTTCGGCTTTTTACAAGCTTTAGTTCCCGAGAAATTTGAATTTTAGTTTGGACCACCTGACTAATGAAAGCTATATTCGATATTTCTCGAGAACTAAAGCTTGTAGAAAGCTGAAAATCTACGTTGTACTTTTACAAATTTGTAGAACACTTCTACTTGTGTGGGGACGACACAGCATCATTTTTGCAAAAGTATGAAAGTTTTCGTTTTTTCGATTTCTAACAGAGGAAAACATACGGCAATAGCGTACATATATGTCTTATGTGGATAGTGTTTACGTGAGCAAATTAGAATTTTTGTAAAATACTTACGAACTGAATTATGATTTTTCTTGATTTTTCGGGCAGTTGAATTTTTTTAGTTTTTGGCTCGAAACTCGAGGTGGATCAGAGCTATTGCTAAATCAAAACTGCCATCTTGTAGAGCTTGCTTTGCTCTATCGGTACCTTGAAAGCTATTCAGGAATGAAAAGTGTATGACTTGTTGCGGTTGAAATTCAAAACGGACATTAATTTCCGGACAACCTAATATCATGGCTTTGCTAATTTCCATTTTCTTATCCTTCTAATTTTTTGCGAGTTTTTAAGCATTCAGCGCTATCAGTATGCTATTATAGTCTCGAAGAAACAAAGCAGTTTCAAGTAGGTCCGTTTCCTCCTCTAACCCATGTCTTTTCTTGAACAAAGTGCAATGTTTTCCAATTGATGACTTCTAACTTTTATTTTTCGGAACCTCGGTATCAAACGAAACCCAGAGTCAAGCGGACAGATTGAAGAATATAGCTTTATATCATCTTACTCTCTAATCCAAGTTTCCTTCATCTATTCAGTACTTATCGAAAACTTTTCCAAATGATGTCCCACTCTTCAGATGCCCCATCCGAAATTTGACGTCTCGGCGAACGAAGAAGAGGTAAAGCGTCATCCCTTCTCGATATTCGACACCAATGCTCATAAATCGGCTCACTTCTTCTTCTACGATCAAACGAGACTTGTCATACTTGCACTCAGCACTCTATGCCTCACTCTACTCCACAGCAATACACTAACATTAAACTTTACCGTAATCTGCATGGATGATGTGGTAGCGAAACAAAGCAGTAACAGTTCTGGTAAGTGTTGACATCATGTTTCTTTTTTGAAAAACAAGATAAAGTTGTTTTAGAGCCACATTGGCTTCAATCGCCATCGCGCATCAACACATTGTTTTCCGCAATTGCTGCCGGTGCTCTAATTGGAACATTTCCAATCATGGCTCTAGTGGCGCGCATTGGAATGAGGTTTAAACCTTTTTTAGTCGCAACAGCCCAGCAATAAGATTTTTTCTCAAACAATATTTCAAAACTAAAAGTAAAAGAGACCTCTGGAAAAGTGCATTAAGGAATCCTCCTCGCAAAGTATGAGTTTGGAAAACCCTTCAAGTAGTTCAATATGTATTTGTTTGTAGTGTTCAATGTTTTTATAAGCTACACCGCTGCGTCGCTCTTAATGGGAAAATGGGAAGAGAAGGGTGCTTTTGACACAACTGATGTTGATTCGAATTTTAGATTTCTCACATGCCTTCTTGCAAGATCGAATAAGAAAACTAGTAGCGGTCGCAAATAAAGAAATGGGAGGGAGCCACAGAAAATTTTGAATGGAGAACTTCGCTATTATATTCATTTGACAAACTTATCAAAATCTTCAGGAATTGAACTTCAGTGTAGAATACTACAGTTTTATATTGAGTTCAACAACCCAAACTGAAACAATAGAAAAGTTGCCAGCAAAATTTTGTGAATGTTGAATTCCCACTCATCCTTCTCACTGCGGGAATAAGAACACCTTGTGTGGAGTAAAAAAGGTACTTGGCACAAGCAGCTTGAGCAACAGGCAAAGTTATTGTTTGATCCGTAAAAGTGTTAAAGTGTTGATTGGCAAAGTTCATAATTTCATCAAGTAGCTGTCAAAAAACGGAGATATTGGTAATCTACAAGAATCTTAATTTGTCAAAAAGTCTATACGATGACTGAGAGGATTGATTACTGTAGCTACTAAATTGTTGTAAAAGGTTGCCTTTACAGAAGGACATTAACGATATACGGATTGAATTCCGCAATATTCACCCTCATTCTACCATTTGCAGTGGATTGGGGATATCATTATGTACTCGCAGCGAGATTTTTCCAGGTATGATGTGAACCTGTAACTTGTTCAAAATATTAGGCTTATGCAGTTATGTATGTTCCTTATCCTAAGCAGGGAAACTATAAAAATGTTCAAAGTATATCAATTGATAGGGCAAAACAAGCTCTACAAGGTAGGGCTGGAACAATCGCAAAAAGTTCAATCTAGTAGATGAAGCTTGTGGAAATCTAAAAAAATTTTGAATACCCAAAAATCAGATTTCTGTCTAGAAGGATCCTGCGAACTTCCAACGCGGTCAAGCATATTCTATACACATAGTATATTCATATGTACACTTGCCGAACTTTTTCGCAACTGTAAATTGAAAAATTAGGCCAAAGATTCGGGAATGTCACCTTTTTCAGATTTTATGCCATATTTTACAATTTCCAACAAAATCGCTGAAAGAGAGCTGAAAGTTTAGTGCTATACTTCCGAAAGCTTAATATGAAATCGTCTATGTAGGATCAACCAGGCATTGGTTCCGTTAGAAATGCCAAATTCTATTTATTTAACTTCTAACCATGGAAAAAATACAACTAATGTGCACACGCGTAGCTGATGCGATAAGTAATTTTCAAGAGCAATTTGGGGTTTTCAGGACTCTTCTGAATAGAGATCCAATTTTTGAACATTCAAAGATTTTTAGATTGCTTTCATAGTCTTATGTGTATCAAACTTAAAATTGTAAAGTTGTTTGAACACCATTTCTGTAGAGCTTGCTTTGCTCTATAGAAGAATATGTTTAATAAAGCTTCATGCCTTTTCGCTAGAGTATAAGTAAGCACTAATTGTGCATCAACCTTATACAAGAGTGAATCTGCTGAATTTCAGGGCTTTTCCATTGGAATAGCCTTCTCAGCAATGGGCGCGATTGTCGCCAATTGGTCCGGACTTCATGAAGCCGGAACCTACATTTCAGTCCTTTCGATTCATGTACAGGTAGAAGCGAATGCTAATTCTTGATCGAATGAAAGCATTGTTGGATTTTTACAGCTTTGCTCAATAATTACGATGCCTTTGGCTGGTTTTTTATGCGAAAGTTCCTTGGGTTGGGAATCGCTTTATTACATTCATGGTATTATCTCTTTCATAGTTTTCGTCATTTTTTACTTCTTCTATAAAGATTCGCCAGAATTTCATAGGTATGTTTTGTTATTCTTGATCACTCCTTGATTCGAAATAGACAGTATTTCGCAAAAATATTCCAGAAACGTCAGCAAGAAAGAGCTCAGCAAAATACAACGAAACAAAAACAATATTGGGTTGGACCATCACGATCCAGTTCCGTACTCCTATATTATCCGAGATCCATGCATCCTTGGCATATGGTCCTCGATAACAGGAGCCAACCTGGGCTTTTTTGCCATCTTCTACTATGGGCCTGTTTATGTTAACAAGGTAGAGAAAAAAATTTTTAATCTCTTTGCAGCCGTAAAATTTTCGGAAACAATTGCAGGTTCTACACTTGAATGTGCAGGCAACCGGATTTGCTACAGCTTTGCCTTTCATTCTTTCCGCTATCGTCAAGCTTTTTGCTGGTCCAGTGTCAGATAAATCCACCTGTGTGTCGGAAAGAACTCGGATACTCATCTTCACTTGCGTCTCACAAGGGTTTTTGGCATTCTTCTTCTTGGTAATGGCACTAGTGAGTAATATCTGATTAGATAATCGGAGAACTCAAAGGAAGCATCTAGACAAATTTCTATTATTAGATCTAAGATATCATCATCCTTGAAATCAAGGCGGAGCGAGAGGGAAGCGAAGAGGGGCCCTCCTTCGTCGAGAATGAGTCACAAAATTTTCAAAAATTACTAAAACGAGTGCAGCCGACTGCTTCCACTTGTGAAAGATCAAAATAATTTTTTGCCCTGGGGAAAATTTTCTCGAATGCGTGGCGGCAACTTCTTCTAAAACGGGGTTATGGGCCACAAAAATTTGGGAAATCCCCCCCCCCTCCTAAAAAGTCTCACATGCCATTGCTGAACATTCGTAAATACGAGATGTGCTTGTAGGAATGTCGCAGTCGCTTTGTTTTGGCAGGTGTGTGGATTACGCCTTCTAAGAGTCGATCAGCTGAAACATTCAGCACCAACACCCCCCCCCCCCTTCCCTCCCCCTTCCCCTCCCACCCACACACACATTCTATTTCTCTACCTCATCTCAACTCACAATAGGAGATAGTCAAACGTAATGCCCAATTCACACTTTCCTCACGGCTAAAATAGCCACTTTTGGACCTTTTTACAGACTGTGAAGCACAGTTTTGTATTTAACACAGCCAGAATATCCGAGAAGGACAAATGGATGCATGGGCTGTGTTCAAGCTGCTGATGTTTTTCCCTGAGATGTAATCGCTTCAAACAATAAATTCATTCGTTAATACATCAAACTAAACTTTTCGTCTCCAATCTGAATTCAACACGGATAATGGATTTGCTCGAGTTTATAAGGTTCTTCCAGACAACATCTGCAACAGTAGCCCAAACCGCCTATACGGCTGCTATAGTTTCCAGTGGCTTCAATGTTGTTGGATCGGTCAAATGCTCACAGTTGGTGAGTATTTGTTCAACAAACCCTGCCTTCTAATTTCTTTACCGCGACTCAAAGGCATGACGAACGCGCCGGCCGCGGCCGTGCACGCACTCCTTACATTGTCTTTGTCTCGACAAAACCCGTCTGAATCTTTTCCCTGCAACAACACCTAAGTAATTTTGGCAATCTGTACTCCTTTCAATTTCAGAGAGCTCGCCAGCATACACATTTTGTTATGGCAGTGGTTTCATGTAACGCTTGTGTCATTACACTACTTTTACCATTCGTCGTCACCTTGGTCTGCCCAGATAACACCCGCGAGCAGGTACAGGCTGTCTCAATGAGAGTGTCAAGGCTGCGGCGGTTTCGGTCCTAGCAGCGCCTCGCAGTTCTTGCGCCGCGTCCGCAAATGCATTTTCTGGGCATTTTCCCTAGCTCTTCAACCACTGCTCAGGTAAGCGAGGCGCAGAGGATACCTCCACGAACGCGGCGCGGCCAAAGCGTGGGGACGCGAGGAACCCAGTTGCTGAAGCCTTGACACCCACAATGAGATGTCCTATAGTTCAAAAAGCTCAGTATCCAGCATAAAAAACGTTTTTCAGTGGTCGCAATTATTCTGCGGAATAAGTGCTATAGTGGTGGTGGCGAACTTGCCGTTCTTGGTTCTGGCACAAACCGGTCCTGCACCATGGACAATGCCGGCTTTCCTGTCTTCACGAAAAACAGCCCCTACTAGGAAGCAAGCAGTTACATACTTGTCAACTTCAGCTGATATGGAATTTGCACCTGAGTCTCTGAGAGTTTATTGAGAGGATTTTGCACAGATAAGTGATGAAAAAAAGATGGATTCGATGCACAAAAGAGAAAGCATGGAGATCAAGTTTTCTACAAGATAAACCAATTTTCGTCATATGTAAACTTATAAAAAATCTGAGTAACACAAAACGATAAAAATAAATGCTTCAACTATCAAAGAACACACCATCTTCGAATGAATCTTGACTACCAGCTTCCTTTGATGATGTTTTCTGATTTCCAACTTCTATCTTCGCAACGCCTGAACTTTTCACAACCGATGTGCTAGGGTTCATGGGTCTACGAGCTAGGGAAGCGTTCGCGACATTTGGTCTTTTCGGAGTCGGATTGGAAGGAGTAGAACAACTCAAACGTTTAGCGGGAGCTGATAAGGGAGTTGTACGGGTAATACCGATAGGAGATGGGGTTGTGAGTGGCGAGCGACTTGCCGGAAGGGGAGTACCCACAGATCGTCGCATGGGATTCAGGATTGCAGGGTTCTGAAGCAGAATCAAGATAAATACACAAATCAACAAAAAGGAGATACCTTCATATGGTACTGCACTGCAAGAAATGCTTCCATCTTTATACAGTCGTACTCTTCGGGGCAGATTAACTTCAAAAAAAAAACTAACTTAGGAAAATCTTGGATAAACGAATTCTTACCTTTCTCAAGCAAGATGCCTGAACTGCCACCGCACCTTTGAATCGAATGAGTTTCCCAGAGATAAACACAGATGTTCCTGGTGGCAGCCGATCGGAATCTCTTGTAGGACTTGACTGAAAAGGTGGGTTATTTCAAAAGAAGACATTCTTCTCGGTGAAATGGTAGAGTAGACCTTATCCTTAGAAAAATGGTCTGCCAACCCAAAAGAGAAAAGCAGATTAAGGGTCATAAAAAGCAAAAACTCTGCGAAAAACGTAATTTCCAAATTTCTACCATTGTCGTGTGAACTCCTCATCTGCTATAGGCCAAACTGAGATTTCAATGAAACCAAAGGTTCAAACAAAGGTCAAAAAGGGCAATTTAGTTGACTGTTCAGACGCCACTAAATATGAGCAATTACCTCATTACGATATAGCACTGAGACTTGATTCATTGTCACACTGCCTTCTGGAGAATCGCAAACGACATATTGCAACGAATTGAGTGTTCGTACGGGACGGCATGACAGCACGCGTCCAACACATATTACCTTAAACCTATCATATGTGATAAGGATAGCTTTCCAAATACATGAAGGTCTGTAAATTACCAATGGAAATTCCTTGTTTCCAATCCGAACCGTCTCGCCTTCCTTAGCTTTAGCACGAATGAAGCTTATAGTGACCGGCAACGGCAGTCGATCTACTCGAACAGTTTTTGGTGATGGAGAAGCCATGCACGGAAGTGTTTTCTGACATTGGATATCTCTATAGAAAAAGATCTCCAAGAATTACAGTTCTCGACCACTCAGTAACCACTCTAAGTTTTTGCTTTTCGTGTACGCAATACTAGCAGTAAGGTGACTGAAACAAAACAGAAAACAAATGCTTCAACGTTTATTCATATCCCTTCTATATGATAATGCAGTTGAAACGTAAACAATATATGAATCATATACCCTTGACAAGTATCACCATAATAGAAATCTGGCCAATTGACTCTATTCAAAAGAAATTTGGGACAATCCATGATGAGATTCGTAGAATCGTGAAGCCAGAGAAAGACGCCCATGTTAATAACTACAATAATCGCAGTGTCGCGGAAATGTTGAGCTGATTAACTTTACAGATTTATACGACCGAGATGTATTGTACTACCTATTATTATGTTTTGAAGACGTATGTCCATAGTCTGATTACTTCTAACCTTAGTTTTTTAAGTGAGAAAAAGTTTCGAAAGTTTCCTTTCAATGACTTAAGCGCTATAGTACGGCCCACGAACTTTTGGCTATGACGCCCTCATACACCCATGGTAAAATACCATGAATAAAGCGTTCAAAGTTGTCATTTTTTGCAAGAATGTGGAACAACATTCAACTCAGAAAAAGTGTGGTTCTCTATCCTCACTGAGTTCAGAAGGTCTACGATTCTAATTCAGTGGAGTCCCTCTCACAATCGGATGCATGTTAATACCTTACGCTTAACGCCTCCACGCTGATCCGCCATAGTTTCAGTTCATTTTATTACAGTACCCCACTGCTGTAAATTTCATAATAGACAAGTCTAGCCTGCAAATAATGGTAGCCACTACCGCGGCGCCGCGATTACTCTACCACCAGCCCAAAGATCAATGCAGATAAGCAAAAAAATTACATTGCCACACAATCGAAGAACAATTCAACCACAATGATCCACAAGTTCACTCGTCATCATCAGAACTTTCGCTTAGATTCAGACCCAGGTCTCCGTGATCGGTCTTAGGTGGAGGTGGCCTAAAAACATTAGGCGGATATAGAAGTAAATTCAAAGCTTAGATCAAACTGAAAACCATGATATAAGATTTTAAAATGAAAGAAGGGAAAAAACATGTTCCTAGTCCAAAAATAACGAGAAATAAGAGACAAATAAGACACGTTCAAGCAATTCGGCAAGTCTCTACTCACCTGGGCTGGTAGCTATTCTGCTGGGCAGGTTGTGGAGGTGGAGGCTGCGAGATAGTGTCCAACGCCGGCATATCGATACTTTCATTAAACGGAGCTGGGGCTGGTCCGCTAGCCTTCATGCTTTCCAGTATCTGACCTGAAACAAGAGAGTTCATAGTTACATGGGTTGAAAAAGGTAAAATGATTGAACACACTTTCAACATCACTGTTTGCCGAGCTTGAATTAGAATCGCCTCCAGTTTTGGGTTTGCTCTGAAATGAAAAAAAAAACTTGCAGTAAACCAATAAACACGCTTGTCAAAAAATTAAACAAATTCTAATACTGGATATATTAAGGTCTTTATCAAGACGTTGAGAATCTGTAGAAGTGAAGAAAAGCTATTTAAATGAAATCAAAGAATTTTACCGACGTTTACCTCATCATCAGAACCACTGCCACTGTCGCTATCACTATCGTCGCTAGAAGAGTCAGATGAACTACTGCTATCGGCTCCAGGGAAGGAAGAACTGCTAAAACATGTGCCAAAACTGCGGATGTACAATGCTGAAGATGCGAAACTCGCCAATACCTGGGCTCTGGAGGAGGCGGACGATCTATTCGTGCAGTGCGCAACCGAGCCATCTCCGAACGTAACACACTCTCGACTGATGGGTCCAAATCTCTGAGAAGGAAAGTGGAAAAATCAATACGGAGTGGTCATGATGGAGCTCTTCACCCAGGTAAACAATCCCAAAAAAGAAGTATAGGCGCAAGAATCTTACCGGGTCTTTTTCACGTTGATATTTGAGTTGATCTTTTCCAAGCGTAATTTTCCCGTCTTCTTATCGAAAAACAGTAAACACTCTTTTGCTTTCGCATCTTTCTTGGATCCCTTGAAAACTGTCATGTTTTCCCCTTCTGTTGGAACGGCAACCTGCAAACAGATCCTATACAAATGGTCATTCAAATGAAGGGAGTGAAATTACATGAACATCTCCATTAGCTCCAAGTGCTATGTATGTATCAGAATCCGATGAAGCAACAGACATTGGCTTGAAGTCATCTGAAGAACAAATTGCGAGAATTGTTAAGAAATGCTCATCTCAACATCCAACTCATTTTTCTTCAAGCATGAATTCCCGGCCGTTTACGACTTTCGAGATAAGCTTATCAAGAGATTTCAGCAGAAAACAAAGATAAGAAAAGAAGATGACAAAAGTTGTCGTTTAGTAAACGAAACTAAGTAAGACTCACAGCGAAGCGTGTGATAAGAAGGTCCATCTGTACGTCGTTGTTCGGTGAATGTCTTGCCAAGTTCAAGGCTATATGTTCCAGGAGCAATATCTTTGGTTTCGGCCATCCAAGACTGAAAAATAACATGGATGAAATACCAAAAATGAGTAAATTATAGGTACGCTATGACAGACCAGAAACTTTTTAAAAAGTTGGTAGCATATAACGGCTTTTTCGAATGCAGAAAAGCTGTGCATTATGCAATTTGTATCCGCATTTAGAGCGCATTTCGATGGATCAACAGAAACTCAATGCTGGAAAATTCTACGATGCAGTATTTCGCAAAAGTTAGAGTCAAGAGGCTACCCAACATTATGGAACAAAAAATAATGCTCACTGCAAATTTCAAAGTGATATCTTTCTGTAGAATTTCTAAGAACTTAGATGACATGTGATTTAGAGCGATTCTAAAGCGTCGGGATTGCTACAAGAAGGTCGAGATGGTATTATTGTGCAGTCCGGGACTGCAAGACAACGGACTGGTCCGCGAACTGCCCCGCGCAACCGGATATTCGTTTAGCGAGCAGGAAAAAACGTGAGCGTATTCACAAATGTCCTCCAGGACCCAAACGTTTCAAAGAGCAGAATCTATACAGCATTCCTTTCTGGTTTAGCATAAACAATGCTCTGTTAATGGCGCATCAAACCAGTGCTCAGAAGTCATAAAATTGTTCAAACAAAGATTTTTACGATCTAAAATAAAGATCTAGGACTGGCAAAAGAACACAAAAAATTTTTAAAACGCGCTAGTTCTATTGGAGATAGTGTATCTGCAACCACGAATTCGATAGCAATGCAATATTCGCACTAACTTTGCACTAACTAAATTGATAAGTGCAAATCCCTTGACCTCCTACGCAGTGTTCTTTTCCTAGGCTAGCTTAGTATTCAGCAATGGAGGCACTAGATAATGTTAGGGCTATCAAACTAAACAAGTAGCGAAAACGACAAGCAATGACTAGAAAATTATCGCATAGACGAATTTTGAGGTGCAAGATGCAGCCGCGACCATCTGCAATGAATTTTACGCCTCAATTTTTCTCTCTCGCTCGCTCATTCGTTCTCCAGTTCGGTGTTTCTGTGCTCCATGTTCCTTTCATCATTTTGAAAATTTTTCCAGTGTTCAGAACATTTTCTATTATCCTAGAAAATTGAAGGAGCTTCAGTTTATATCCGTGTCGTCTCTGTATTTTTTCCTGCATCTGCACAGTTGCTGCAGTGCAGTCGTCACCTTGCAAGTACTCTTGTTTTAAGATGGCCATCTAAACGTCATAACTTGTTCTATTACATCCTGTCTTGATGAGGGTAATTTTCGGGTCGAGTTTTTCTTCTATTCATTAAATCTTGCTTTTTATATGGCTTTGTTCTTCGTGAGGTTGGACAAGTTGATAATCTGCCATCTGGAACCTTGTACGCTAGTCTGCTAAGTCCTTGTAAAAGGTCATTCAAAAAATGCTTTTTAATTTGACATCAGAACTTACTCGTGCCCACACTCAGGTAGAGATTATAACGAAACTATTAGCTGAACAGTTCGAGAATTCTCCCGCTTTTTCTTTCTGTGGTTAATTTGTTGGCGTTCGTCGTGTGTCTACAATAACTTATCATTCATTCTATGACTAGGAGACTCGAGACCGTTTTGCACACATTGTCTAAACATGACGGAATGTAGTTAGAAGTTTATGATTTGCGACTTGGAATCAGGAAAAACAAGCAAGCTTATATAGATAATAATGTGCGTCAAGCACTCTCGGTTTTCTAATCATAGAAGATACTTTTCAATTTGGTAAGTAGCCAGTAGCTTTCATAGTTGCCACGTGTCGAGCACTGACGTGTCCATTTCCTATATTTTTTCTGCATTGTGCAATTTGTGGCAAATCTTTCCTACCAGTTCAAAAGCGCTGGAGGCCAATTTGTCACAATAGATTCAGAATCTAATCAGATTACATTGGCAAATCAATTATTGAATAACTTTCTGAATTCTACCAATGCTGTGCTAAAACCAGGGACTTCTTACAATTCGCGTTTCTTGGAGAGTTCGCTGTAATGCCACTACTTTTTTCTACATTTAGAAACTTTGAAGTATGCGATTTGTCTATAAATATTCTCTTTTGACCTTGTGTTTTTCTAAAGCAATTATTTCTACTGTTCCCGCGTGAGTGCAAATTCACTTTGTTGGCCTTACAGTTCTTACGCGCCGAGAGTCACACATTCTTATAATGCGTCTGATTATCGTGGCAAATGTCAGTTGTCATTGCGAGTTCTGTTTCGCAAGTGTTCTACTTGCCTCTTTTTGTCTCTTATGATTCGCAGAATCAATAGCTAACAGCTGTTGGGTCGCGATCTCTCGCTGAATATCTAATCAAGTTGCAGTCTCTGCTCTTTTTCTCTTTATACTTGCATTTGCAGATCTACTCATGATATCTTCTTCTCATTTACATTCCATATCTCACCAAGTTTTGACATATTTACAAAAGAAAACTATACATCCTACTCAAATTCAGCATTCACAAATTGCTTATGAGTCGCATCTACTTGTACACATTTTTCACATTTTCTTCTATGACCTTCTTCCTAAATTCTTCATCATCGAACTCCCCTTGTGAATCGCGTGAGCGCCACGTTGTCCTTTATCGCGGCGTATCGGGGCAGCCGTTCTTCATACTTCCCTTCTGCATGCATAATTTGTTTGTTTGAACTTTCCGTTCTCAGGGCCTCCTCAGTTCACCTTCAATCAATTCATCATAAATGAATTAGCAGTAACAATATTTACAGGGTAGTCATACTTTTTTCTGTAATCGTGTTTTACACTAGTCAAGTTGGAGTTCGATTACGGCCCAAGCTCTTCTTACTATCAGATGTCTACAGACATCTATGATGGCTTTAATTTGTGAGTTATGATCTTACCTTTTTTTCCAGTTTTTATAAACACTTCATCATCAAAGTTGAGATAGATCGTATAATGAATCTCTGTATACAGGGTTGGAAGAAAGTCCTTAAACAATTTTTGATGTCCTTGTATTTTCGGCTTTTTCAGAATTTTTGTATGCTAATTATATGTATCTGCTTCTTATGCTCTTGAGTACAAGCCCTTAAAAAACTGGACTGTTAGCTTTTTTCCTATTGGAAATATGGAACGGAGCGAGCATTGGATGCACGAGAAGAGGATGGCTGACCAGCAAATTGCGCGGGCTCCCCAAATTTTACAGATCAGGGTTTTTTCCACCTTGCGTCGTTTCCAAGATATGAACAGCACCCAGGACTGTTATCTTATATATAAAGCTGAATGTCTGTTTATATGTCTGTATGTATGTCTGCATGTATGTCTGTCTGTCTGTCCGTCTGTACGTATGTTCCGAATAGAAAATTCCATTTCTGAACCGATCGGGACCAAACTTAGCACACATACACTTCGGGCCCCGGCGGGTGTCATAGGCTACTTTTCGTCATCGATCGATATCGATTTTATCGATTTTTTGCAAAATTTGAGCTACGGGGCTGGGAGTTGGCACAGGGGGGTAATCGAGCATGCTGATCACCCCCGTGGGATGATCAGCATGCTCGATTACTCCCCTCTGCCAAATTCCAGCCCCCTAGCTCAAATTTTGCAAAAAATCGATAAAATCAACATCGATCGATAACGAAAAGTGGACTGTGACACCCGCCGGTGCCCGAAGTGTATGTGTGCCAAGTTTGGTGCGGATCGGTTAAGAAATGGAATTTTCTATTCGGAACATACGGCGGAGCCGAGTAAGCCAGCTAGTCTTATATATAAAGCTGAATGTCTGTTTGTTTGTCTGTCTGTATGTCTGTCTGTCTGTACGTATGTTCCGAATAGAAAATTCCATTTCTGAACCGATCGGGACCAAACTTAGCACACATACACTTCGGGCCCCGGTGGGTGTCATAGGCTACTTTTCGCCATCGATCGATATCGATTTTATCGTAGTCTCCGACATCGTAAGAGAGGGCCTTCGATGAAGCTTTTCATGATGCTAAAATTCCAGCTTTATGGGAGGAGGCGAAGCTGAATGACTGCGCAGATGCCATCAACTGCTTGAACGTCTCTCCAAGACACGCCACCGAACGACACTCTTTTCTGACGTTAAGATTTTCACCGTGAGGAAAGTTTTTGATCGCCAAACAACAGAATCATCACCTAATCGCCCCCAGAAGTCAATGGCAAGGGTTGATTCGCAGAAGGAAAGCTTCATCCGGCTTCTGTATTAGTTTGCGCTTCGATCGCTTCCAACAGCAAGATGCTGGCGATTTTTGTGTCCCAGGACATCGAGGTGGACACCGCTACGCACTTGGATAGCATCCTGAAGAAGGGATTGTTGGCCTGGACCAGTACCAATTTCGCCAGGAGCGATTGGTGTCCTCAGCAGGATAGCGCACCTGCGCACAAAGCGAAGTTTGTTCAAGCATGGCTCCAAAGCAACATCGAGGAGAGTTCATTACTCCTGCGCAGTGGCCTCCGTATAGACCGGATCTGGGTACCCCCGACTACAGCGGTGGTCAGTTCTTTAGGCCAAAGCCTGCGCTCACCCACGCAAGACAGTGGAGTCTCTGCGACTTGCTCTTCAGAAGGCGTTGGAAGAAATCGACGGAAGCACCTCCTTGCCACCATGGATAGCGTTCCCAAGCGTTTCCGAGCTTGTTCGCGTCAAAGGAGAAATCTTCGAATTGTGAAGTCAGTTTTGTGTAGCAGACAGTTAGGTAAACATTACCTATTGATTCCATGTAATCAACTTTCTTAGATTCATCATTACGCTAAAAATACCATGTTCAAAGACTTTCCCCCAACCCTGTAAATTGATGTCGATCCTTTTTTGTAGTGGACAACACTTTTTGCATCACATCTTGAGCAGAAATTAGACTCATACTATGTCAGCTTGGGAGTGCACCATGACTAGTCAGGAAACGCTGAGTTCAAAGGTCTCATCTCTGTATGAACAAGTGTTCTAAAACTGGTTTCGCTTTTGCGCGTGATTCCGCGACAAATCTAGAAGGAATTTACCAAGCTTGTTAGAGGAATATGGGGGAAGGAAATTGTGTCGTGTTTCCAAATGGGAGAATGTA